ATATTTATATCTAGCTTATTTATTTTACATAATAGACCCCAAATGTTAAATAAACAAAGAAAAATATAAGTAAGATTTTGGACGATATTTCTTCATATGTATAGATATGCGTATTGTCCTCACATACATGTATATATCAATATATTGATATCTCGATATATTGTCCCAGCCCTAAATAACATTAAGTCAGGTTAAACAAATTTTCTCACATAATAAATAATATTTCAATCAATATTTCATTCAACTGTATATCTACTTAAACAAGAGGCCCATGGGCCACATCGCTCACCTGAGCACTATGGCTAGGAAAAAGTAGAAATTGGTTTATTATTGAAAAGTTTAAATCCAAAAGTAGTCCCATGTCCAATCATGGCTTTGCTATTCATGAGAAGAAGATTTTTAAAGAATTTTCCTATATATTTCTATGTAAAACTTTGGATGGCCATTTTGGCCCGCCCTACCCCTGGGGGTCATGATTTGAACAAACTTGAATCTACACTGCTGTAGGATGCTTCCATATAAATATGATCAACTATGGCTTTGTTATTCTTGAGAAGAAGATCTTTAAGGAATTTTTCTATATATTTCTATGTAAAATTTTGGTCGGCCATTGTGGCCCCGCCCTACCCCCGGGGGTCATTATTTGAACAAACTTGAATCTACACTACCTGAGGATGCTTCCAAATAAGTTTCATCCTTCCTGGCACAGTGGTTCTTGAGAAGAAGATTTTTAAAGAATTTTCCTATATATTTCTATGTAAAACTTTGGTCGGCCATTGTGGCCCCGCCCTACCCCCAGGGGTCATGATTTGAACAAACTTGAATCTACACTACCTGAGGATGCTTCCATATAAATATGATCAATTATGGCTTTGTCATTCTTGAAAAGAAGATTTTTAAAGAATTTTCCTATATATTTCTATGTAAAACTTTGGTCCACCATTGTTGCCCTGCCCTACCCCCGGGGGTCATTATTTGAACAAACTTGAATCTACACTACCTGAGGATGCTTCCATGTAAGTTTCATCCTTCCTGGCACAGTGGTTCTTGAGAAGAAGATTTTTAAAGAATTTTCCTATATATTTCTATGTAAAACTTTGGTCGGCCTTTGTGGCCCCGCCCTACCCCTGGGGGTCACGATTTGAACAAATTTGAATCTACACTACCTGAGGATGCTTCCATATAAGTTTCATCTTTCGCAGAGTGGTTTTTGAGAAGAAGATTTTTAAAGAATTTTCCTATATATTTCTATGTAAAACTTTGGTCTGCCATTTTGGCCCCGCCCTACCCCCGGGGGTCATGATTTTAACAAATTTGAATCTACACTACCTGAGGACGCTTCCATATAAATATGATCAATTATGGCTTTGTTATTCTTGAGAAGAAGATTTTAAAGAATTTTTCCTATATATTTCTATGTAAAATTTTGGTCGGCCATTGTGGCCCCGTCCTACCCCTGGGGGTCACGATTTGAACAAACTTGAATCTACACTACCTGAGGATGCTTCCATATAAGTTTCATCTTTCCTGGCAGAGTGATTCTTGAGAAGAAGATTTTTAAAGAATTTTCCTATATATTTCTATGTAAAATTTTGGTCGGCCATTGTGGCCCCGCCCTACCCCTGGGGGTCACGATTTGAACAAACTTGAATCTACACTACCTGAGGATGCTTCCATATAAGTTTCATCTTTCCTGGCAGAGTGATTCTTGAGAAGAAGATTTTTAAAGAATTTTCCTATATATTTCTATGTAAAACTTTGGTCTGCCATTTTGGCCCCGCCCTACCCCCGGGGTCATGATTTGAACAAACTTGAATCTACACTACCTGAGGATGGACAGACGGACTACAGACAAATTGTGATCAGAAAAGCTCACTTGAGCCTTCGGCTCAGGTGAGCTAAAAATGCAGGCCTCATATTTTAGCGGTATTGGCAGGAACAACATCGCAATACATTAACCTCTAAAAGACAAGAGGCCCATGGGCCACATCGCTCACCTGAGCACTAAGGGTAGGAAAGAGTAGAAAATGGCTTTTTATTGTAAAGTTTAAATCCAAAAGTAGTCCCATGACCAATCATGGATTTGCTATTTTTTAGAAAATGATTTTTAAAGAATTTTCCTATATATATCTTTAAAAACTTTGGTCGGCCATTTTGGCCCCACCCTACCCCTGGGGGTCATGATTTGAACAAATTTAAATCTACACTACTTGAGCATGCTTCCATATAAATATGATGAATTATGGCTTTGTCATTCTTGAGAAGAAGATGTTTAAAGAATTTTCCTATATATTTCTATGTAAAACTTTGGTCGGCCATTTTGGCCCCGCCCTATCCCCGGGGGTCATGATTTTAACAAACTTGAATCTACAATACCTGAGCATGCTTCCATATAAATATGATGAATTATGGCTTTGTCATTCTTTGGGAGAAGATTTTTAAAGAATTTTCCTATATATTTCTATGTAAAACTTTGGTCGGCCATTTTGGCCCCGCCCTACCCCCAGGGGTCATGATTTGAAAAAACTTGAATCTACACTACCTGAGCATGCTTCCATGTAAATATGATGAATTATGGTTTTGTCATTCTTGGGAAGAAGATTTTTAAAGAATTTTCCTATATATTTCTATGTAAAACTTTGGTCGGCCATTTTGGCCCCGCCCTACCCCGGGGGGTCATGATTTGAATAAACTTGAATCTACACTACCTGAGCATGCTCCCATATAAATATGATGAATTATGGCTTTGTCATTCTTGAGAAGAAGATGTTTCAAGAATTTTCCTATATATTTCTATGTAAAACTTTGGTCTGCCATTTTGGCCCCGCCCTACCCCCGGGGTCATGATTTGAACAAACTTGAATCTACACTACCTGAGGATGTTTCCCCATAAGTTTCATCTTTCCTGGCACAGTGGTTCTTGAGAAGAAGATTTTTAAAACATGCCACCAAATTTTTATTAGTTCCCAATTATCTCCCCTTGAATGAGGGCGTGGCCCTTCATTTGAGCAAACTTGAATCCCCTTCACCCAAGGATGCTTTGTGGCAAGTTTGGTTGAAAGTGGCCCAGCGGTTCTTGAGAAGAAGTCGAAAATGTGAAAAGTTGACAGACAGACAGACAGCTAGACAGACGGATGGACAGACGGACTACAGACAAATTGTGATCAGAAAAGCTCACTTGAGCCTTCGGCTCAGGTGAGCTAAAAATGCAGGCTCATATTTTAGCGGTATTGGCAGGAACAACATCGCAATACATTAACCTCTAAAAGACAAGAGGCCCATGGGCCACATCGCTCACCTGAGCACTAAGGGTAGGAAAGAGTAGAAAATGGCTTTTTATTGTAAAGTTTAAATCCAAAAGTAGTCCCATGACCAATCATGGATTTGCTATTTTTTAGAAAATGATTTTTAAAGAATTTTCCTATATATATCTTTAAAAACTTTGGTCGGCCATTTTGGCCCCACCCTACCCCTGGGAGTCATGATTTGAACAAATTTGAATCTACACTACTTGAGCATGCTTCCATATAAATATGATGAATTATGGCTTTGTCATTCTTGAGAAGAAGATGTTTAAAGAATTTTCCTATATATTTCTATGTAAAACTTTGGTCGGCCATTTTGGCCCCGCCCTACCCCCAGGGGTCATGATTTGAACAAACTTGAATCTACACTACCTGAGCATGCTTCCATATAAATATGATGAATTATGGATTTGTCATTCTTGAGAAAAAGATTTTAAAAGAATTTTCCTATATATTTCTATGTAAAACTTTGGTCGGCAATTTTGGCCCCGCCCTACCCCGGGGGGTCATGATTTGAACAAACTTGAAACTACACCACCTGAGTATGCTTCTATATATATATATATATCATGAATTATGGCTTTGTCATTCTTGACAAGAAGATTTTTAAAGAATTTTCCTATATATTTCTATGTAAAACTTTGGTCGGCCATTTTGGCCCCGCTCTACCCCGAGGGGTCATGATTTGAACAAACTTGAATCTACACTACCTGAGCATGCTCCCATATAAATATGATGAATTATGGCTTTGTTATTCTTGAGAAGAGGATTTTTAAAGAATTTTCCTATATATTTCTATGTAAAACTTTGGTAGGCCATTTTGGCCCCGCCCTATCCCCGGGGGTCATGATTTTAACAAACTTGAATCTACAATACCTGAGCATGCTTCCATATAAATATGATGAATTATGGCTTTGTCATTCTTTGGGAGAAGATTTTTAAAGAATTTTCCTGTATATTTCCAAGTAAAACTTTGGTCGGCCATTGTGGCCCCGCCCTACCCCCGGGGGTCATGATTTGAAAAAACTTGAATCTACACTACCTGAGCATGCTTCCATGTAAATATGATGAATTATGGTTTTGTCATTCTTGGGAAGAAGATTTTTAAAGAATTTTCCTATATATTTCTATGTAAAACTTTGGTCGGCCATTTTGGCCCCGCCCTACCCCGGGGGGTCATGATTTGAACAAACTTGAATCTACACTACCTGAGCATGCTCCCATATAAATATGATGAATTATGGCTTTGTCATTCTTGAGAAGAAGATGTTTCAAGAATTTTCCTATATATTTCTATGTAAAACTTTGGTCTGCCATTTTGGCCCCGCCCTACCCCCGGGGTCATGATTTGAACAAACTTGAATCTACACTACCTGAGGATGTTTCCCCATAAGTTTCATCTTTCCTGGCACAGTGGTTCTTGAGAAGAAGATTTTTAAAATATGCCACTTAATTTTCATTAATTCCCAATTATCTCCCCTTGAATGAGGGCATGGCCCTTCATTTGAACAAACTTGAATCCCCTTCACCCAAGGATACTTTGTGCCAAGTTTGGTTGAAATTGGCCCAGTGGTTCTTGAGAAGAAGTCGAAAATGTGAAAAGTTTACAGACAGACAGACAGACAGACGGACGCCGGACAAAATGTGATCAGAAAAGCTCAATTGAGCCTTCGGCTCAGGTGAGCTAAAAACTGTTCACTTACTTCCAAGGGGCTTAGACAAATCCTGTACATACTGTCCGAGATCAATGGTTACCCCAAGCAAGAGACTTGCAACAGCTGAAATAACATAAATCAGAATCAGATCAACATATACTGTACAGATATATAAAAATTACAGCTTACTCCACTTATATTGAACTCGCTTATTTTGAAATTCCGCTTATTTTGAAATAGAAATAAATCCCCAGTTTTTGACTCTCATATTCTTTGCATTAAAATAACGGTTATATTGAAATCGGATATATTGAAATTTCGCTTATATTGAAGCCACTGATCGGTCCCCACAGGTGATAATGAGTTGTTTTCATAACGGTTATATTGAAGTACTCCCTGGCAGCTATCGATACGGTTGGTGACAGTAATTATGCCTGATTGACCAGTTGATATACAAAGGTGTGAATAATTAAGTTTTCATCTTATGTGTTTTTACACTGCATGCTATTCCGAAATAAAATTCTTCACTGTTAAATTCTTTGCATCCACGTATATAATACGGACATATTGAGACTAAACAGCTATACGTAATATAGTAACCCCCACAGATCTAGAAAAAAAACATAACTTTGAAATTAAATATATATACTGTTAATTGCTACTGATATGCCTAATTCAAAATTAACCCGAGTACACTTACGATGAAATACAAACAGCGTTCAGCAGTACTCAACCGTTTAAGTCCTGTGAATTTTCTCCAAAACGTAAATAAATGCCATCGGGGAATAATAATGAGGTTGAAGATTGTCTTTTCAATGAAACAGAAATAAAAGAAAATATTTTCACATTCAAGGACTCATATTCTATGTAATCTGTTCACTGATATAGATAAACGATGACAATATTATTTGTTCGGGTTTGTTCTTCTTTATTTTAGATCGGGATTGAACTTGTAAAAATGGCGGTTTCACGATTTCGCTTATATTGAATTACGGATATATTGAAATAATTTGCATGGTCCCCTGAATTTCAATATATCCGGAGTAGGCTGTATATCAAAATAAAATTATTTAATGACAATGTGAATGCAACAATTTACCCTCCAAGATGATTTCTGGACTTCTTAGCATGGCTTTCTGCAATGCTGGGAGTACGGTTTCTTTGAACTCGGCATGATTCAGGTGTCGCAGCAGCTCATTACAACTCTCCTGTAACCATTGCATTCCTCATTATTATTTTATATTCTGTGGAATCACTAATTTATGTGAGAGATTATTTTTTTGTGTTTTCATAGTACATGAATGTCCTCTGTGCAAGATTTTAAACGTGTAAAAACAATGTACTATTCCGCAACAAAATAAAATTCCCTTGAAACAATATTTTCTCATCAAACCTTAAACATTTGAACCCTCAAATATATATGATTTTACAGTAAATGAATCTTGGATAATACACTTAACCATAATGTACATGTATGTCAGGGAAAAAGTAATACATGTGTATATGTAATTTATGTATCAAATCTAACTTGAATTCATGAAACATTTTGGGCACTGTCTTTTTTTTTAAAATGCCATTTCAATCAGCTATTTCTAATACTGTAGATCACTTAATTTTCGCGAAACCTTATTTTCGCGAGATAGTCATTGACTCTTTATAAGCGAGACAAAATTTTCACGAATTGTGGTCAAATGCTCTATATAATCTTAAGGAATACTAATAAACGCGAGAATGAAATTTTCGCGAGCATATTGTCTCGCGTAATTAGGCGAAAATAAAGTTCTCGCGAATAAATAGTGATTTACAGTAATATGGTAAAAATATTCCACTTTACCAGTAACATCTTGGGTGGTTTATTACGACTACCAAGAATCTGTTTTACATACATCTCCACAAAAGGACCCTGAAAATATGTAAGTATAAACATTCAGTAACATAAGCAGAAAAATGAAATATCAATTTCTAGTATGCATATCAAAACAACTTATGTATCTTTTCATGTCACACATGTAGATATTTTACTTGTGCATATCTTACATAAATAAATATGTAATATGTAAAACCTAACGTAAATCTAACACATATATAAATAACCAATTTTTAACCTTTAATTTGGAGAGTAAATCTTGTTCTTTGGTTTTGGCTAGATGTTTCAGTAGCATGGACACAGCACTTAAGTTGTACATCGATGGCTCTAACTCTTGAAGAAGTTCTGCATACATAGCTGTTTTCTCCTTATTCTAAAACAAAAAATAACATCTTTTTTCTATGTAATCAATTTGTAAAGACCTAAAAAACAGAAGGAAATTCTGGAAAGGAATCACTTTAAATTAATAATTGTACTAACTTTATTATCAGAAGCTAATTAACATATATTTTACTGTGCATGTACAAGAGTACACATATTTTCTCCTAAGAACTTAGAAATGTTAAAGCATTACAAAGCCAGCATGTTTACCAATGAGAACAGTCTGGACATTTTCCTGAACGTTGAATCAGAAACTGATTTCCATCCTGCAGCCAGGGCACCATATATCAGTCCGCACTGGACACTGACCTACAGATCACATAATAAAGAGTATATTACAGCAGGTGTGGGAAATATAGATTAAACCACATTTACTTTGTGACATCTTTTATTTGTGATTCTGTTATCCTTAGAAATTCATCAAAGACTTAATTTAAGCAAAACTGAAAACACCCTGCATAAATACAAAATTCAGTTCATGGTTGGTGATGAGAAATATTCTCAAGAAGGCATGTGAATATTGCACACTCTTACAAACATTGGTTTACATCACACGTACAGCACAATAACCTCCTACATTTTATGTTCCCAAATGAAACTTGATAGAAAATTACAGGTACTGATAATAACAGCATGAACCGGTTGAAACAGTGTAAAGAATAAAGTACATGCTACAAGAAACACTTAATTTTTCAAAAAAAGCATCAAAATTTTGATAATTTAAATCAAATGGCAAAAAATTGAAAACAGATGGCAATTTAATCAACTTATTGATTTATCAGCAATATTACAATCAAGATTAAATACAAAATCTGACTTACTAAGCTTTTCAGGTCATTTTTGTCACATGTGACATCTGCCGTCCAAACTTCTTGCAATACAATGCATGTCCAGGTTAGGGCAAACAAAGCATCACCTGAGGAACTCCGACTGAAAGTCAGATTTACTTCAATTATTAATATGTTATTCTATCAAATGTGACAAACATAGATAAACTGAATTACACAAAAGCTATTTACATATATACATGTATATATTATACGTATTGATAAAAATTCAATGAGTGAGGTTTTATAAATTATTGATATTATGTAAAAGTACCTTGCATGCACTCTTTTTTTCTGTGCCTCAGATTCTGAATTGAGAGCTGATGTAACATTCTTAAGGGTGGCTACAGGATGTACTTTAGCTAGTTCCCGTACTAGGTTTCTAACCGCTTGTCTGGACCTGTTGTCCTCATAGCGACTGATGGCAAGAGAAAGGAACTTGAAGACTCCTTTGACAGCATTTTCTGGGAAATCTAATAATTGAGATATTGAATAATAAATGAAATTTTTTTCAGCAAAAAAAGTTTTCACCTGAAAACAAGTAACAGATTGATTACACTGATGTTTAAATTTGATAAAAGGATGCAATAAGGATATTGGGTATTCTGATTCATTCCAGTTTAAATTAATTTAATTAAATGAATCAAATTTATCACATAAGGAAAATAGTTGAAATCATTACTAGTATTACCAAGAAAATCTGAATATCTCTAATTTTTCTTTGCACTTAAGAATTTGAGAAGGAGGAAAATTAGTTAAAATCATTAATAGTATTATCAAGAAAATCTGCATATCTCCAGTTATTCTCTGCACTTAAGAATTTGGGATGAAGGACAAGGTGTTGTCCCACATCCCATAAGCAAGTGCCCTCATGGGAAATGGTTATGTTTAGATAAACATTGCTGAACGTGAAAAGAGTTTACAACAAGCATTATTTGATATTCTTATGGCACATGCAAGTATTCATGTTAATTTGTGAAAATGACAGGTCTATTATACTTTGAGTAATTTTGATTCAATCCAGAATCTAGTGTGATCATAAGTCAACTGTTCCATGTTAAGACGAATTTTAAAAACAAAGCCATGAAGATTTGCGAAGAAAAATTTATAAAGGTAATTACTGTCCACTTAAATATGTGAAACATCTTGATCATCAATATTACGAACAGAGATAATTCGAACGCATTCAATCACTTGACACGTTTTCAATATTTAAGACTGAATTTTCTACTATGTTCTTTCATATAATTATTAGTTTTTTCTAACTGGTAAATGAAACTCATATTTTCGGTTTGAATTAAGTAAAGGGGCATCACTCACCGGGTTTGCCAACACATACTGTCACGTTTTGAAGCAGACCGATTCGTTCTTTCGTGCTTGATGTCGTAACCCGCTGAGCAAACCTCTTCAAAGTCTCAGCACACTATAAACAAACATTAATATATATTTTGATTAACATTTTAAGTGACAATATTGATCATTTTACACAAAAAACCGAAAATAATAAATGGCCCATACTGAAATTTCTTCTTTTTCCGCCATGCTGGTTG